AGGGAGTCTCCCACAACAAACACCTTACGTTTTGTCTTGGAGAGAGCAGGGGCGGGAGCTGCAGTTGGGCCCATGTTGCCTGTGGGAGCCGGCAACTCAGCAGGCTCTGCTGGAGTGGCAAGAGGTGCATACCTGTTGCTCAGCTCCGGCGGGGCAGGGGCCTTGGTCCGGTGGGCCTTAGGGCCCTTGACCACTGTGGTCCATGCCCCTGGCTGGACAGAGCGGGAGGTCCCCGAGTCCTCCTCTGGCCTGGAGGGAGACTGTGGTCTACCCTCCGCCTCCCGGGGAAGAAGGGCCTGGCAGTAGGAGTCTATCTCCTGCTCACAGTCCCTGATGGCACGCAGTCTCTGGACTGTGGCCTGGAGCTCCTCCAGCTGGCGTGCCAGAGACCCCAAAAGGGAGCAGACCCCACAAAGGGAGGGAATCAGGCTCCCAGGCCCCAGAGCCTGGAAAAGGGACAGGCAGCCCCCGCAGCCGAGAGCCATGTTCTGAAAGTATAGGATTGATCACAGGCAAGTCACTTAACATCTGTAACTATCAGTTTCATTTATGTGTAAAACGGGGATACCTTCAATTCAAAGGTGAAGCTAAATTAATGTTTGAGACTTTGACTAAAGGCAAAACAAAAAATGCAAAATATTAATAAAAAAGTGGAAATACATATTACCAGTGAAGGGTACATTTGTAGCATTGTGCCAATCTAACAATTGCCTTTCATTTAAGATGGATATGAGTAAGCAACTGAACTCAGAGAAGTAGGTAACTGAAATAATTTCTCAGACAACATAGGCTTATATATCACTTAAAAGTAAATGCATCATTGGCAAGACTTTGAACTTGCCTGGGTAGAGGAAAAGTTTGCAAGTGAAAGATGAGAAACATGAAGAAAGGAATGGAGAAAAGAAAGCTTTGGTATAGCCTGGATAAACGAGTATAACTGAGGTCAAGCTTTGAGTGAGTGTTTTGGCAGGAGAAGATGCTGATTGAACGAACCTTTGTCTTGTGGTTCGAGTTCTCCTGTGCATGGTCTTATTCTTTTACATAATTAAGTGCATCTAGTTCCCCTGTTCTTCCTAGGTCTGTAACCACTTCTGATAAATTCTCTTTGCTCCACAAGTCTGCTGCCCGCTTCCCTTTTAAGGATCACCTTTGAGGTTGCCATAAAGAGGGAGAGCAGCTGTTTTCCCTCACTGTGTAGAGCTGAATGAGAAGCAATGGCTTCAAATTGCAACACAGTAGATTGAGATCAGGTATCAGGAAGAACTTCATTACTGTTAGACTAGTGAAACAGTAGAATATGCTGCTCCAGGGAAGCTGTGGAATTGTCTTCTTGAAAATCTCCAAAGATGATGTTGGGGAAGAAGCATTAGATAGATGAGGAGTAATGTTCCTACATTCAGGCAAGGGGTTGGACCAGATGACTCTTGGGTCCCTTGCAACCCTATGATTTTATGGTTTACATCACTGGGTTAAATAAATGTAAATGGTATTTAGCTTTGGTAGCATCTGGTGCCTTCCCAGACTTGAACAAGGGTTTTTTGTTCAAAAGTTCATTTAATCTCTCTTCCCAACTGTAGAGTTGGTCCTATAAAAGGTACGTACGCCAAACAAATCTTTGGAACATTATAGCTACAACAATACTACAGTGCTGCTTCAGGAAAACAGGAGGTGGTATAGTTGTTGTAAATGAATAAAATTGCTTCAAATAATTTCTTTCCATCATTTTTTTCCCTAACTGGAGCTACCTACAAAACCCCAAATATTGGCAAGTTACTTGGTCTACAGGAGTAACACTGGCTTAAAGCAACAGCTGGAGGTTCCCTAAGAAAGGCTGAGAAAGAGCTTGCAGACAAAAGTGAAATCTCTTATGGAGAAATAAACATCTCAATAGATTGAGAAGCCTTGTAGTAACACTCCTAGTCCAGACTGGTGAGAGACCAGCTAGGTGAGCAGCGCATTGACTGATCTAGACTGAAAGTTCCTTTTTCAAAGAGGGGAGACCAAGCAAACTTTAGCCAACTCAAAACTAACAGACAGACATGAGCTATAGCAAGAACTCTTGGGATAAAAAAAATTTAGCTCTAGGAAGATAAAAGGGACACAGACAACAGCAGAAGTCAGCAACCTCAGTTCAGGATTTGTCCAGTTAGAGGACTTGAATAGCAGAGGGTACTCAAATATTTACAAAAATTCTCCATCCTATTTATATCCCATTGAGACATACAGGGAAGGAGGTGGATTCTTTTAACTGGAATACTGCATAAATCCACCTTTGGAAGGGAAACTCCAATGTGGATGTTTGATTTAGTAAAATATGAGTGTCCAAATGAGTGATTACAATGGTGGTTGGGGAGAGTGGGGAACAACTTGAGTGGCACAGCAGAACATACCACTGAGCAAAAAGTGAGTTATCTAACCCCAGTATACTAAAAGCCTGCCATTAGTCTGGGTTAACCAAGACACAGCTAAGAGTTAGAACCAGGGTAGGGGGAGAGGGTTTGAAGAAACTACCTGGCCTGGCCAAGGGCCTGAGACTTGGGATCCTGGCATACCTGGATAAAAACAAGGACTTTCAGGATTAATTAGCAATGGACTGATTTAAGAGACATTCGCTTGGATTTAGACTTGCACATTAGGATTAGTAGAGACTATCAGACAGACAAAGAAACAGTGAAATTTAATCTTTTCTTGTGGCAGCCAACCAGAAGAGGAAACAGCCACTTGTGAGGAAGATACAAACACCAGAATGGGTTATTAGAGATAGTGGAGTTTCAATTAGCGGAAGTCTGTATGAGCAAACACTTGGATGGAATAATTTAGATCAGGATGATCCTGCATGGAGCAAGGGATCACTGTACTAAACGCCTTGAGGTCCTTTCCAGCCCCATTTTTATAAGATTGCCGTATGCCTTATAGGTAAATCTGTCAAACATACACGTTGAAAAGGGAAATTTTTATTTGTTTATGACATTATTGCATCATTAGGAAAAATAAATTCTGTTTCTAAAAGGAAAATTGGCAACATACACAAATTAAGGGAAGCAAATTCAGGGAAATTCTGGTCTGTGGATAAATTAATCATAAGAGGCAATATTGTTATAAGGCAAATAAGAACAAAGCATCACAAATGTCCAATGATAACCCTTGACCTATTCTGGGAAATGGGAGGACAAAGCTGAAGGGGCAGATCTTGAAGATAAAAGGAATAGTCACACAGTGTGTGTGCTGGTGTTTTCTTTTTTAAGATCCGGGTAGATGACAATAATAATACAGGTCAGCTTTAAAATATAAGGATCATTTATAGTGATTCAGACCTAAATTAGACCAGTCAGATTAAACCAAACACGCTGGTCTGAAATGGAATCAATGAGTGGGCACCTCACCATAAACTTAGTGGGTTTGAGAACTGGAGCTTGAGAATTTCCATAAGAAGTCTGGATAGTCCCGGATAGTAGATGAGCTCACAGCTGGTTATGATTACCAGTTACTAACCATCGCAAAATCTGTACCAGGACAGTTTTTTTCTATTTCAGTCTGTGGGAATTCTCTCCTTTTCAGTAAGCAAACTGTTTTGCCTCCAGAGCAGAAGGCATTAACATCATTTCCATGTTATATTAGCTTTCCAATAAAGGAAAGAGGAAAAGTACTTTAAAAAATGGTTTGAGACCTAGAGTTTTTGGGGCATCTAGCTGCTCCAGCTCTTGTGGATCAGAACTAGGAAAGAATCCCTGTTAATTTGCAGAACATTTTTTGACAAGCAACACATGATACAAAAAGTAATCTTGGTTACAAAATGTAAATATTCTCCAAGAAAATATAATTTACATCCTCTAAAGCACATCTATGAATTCACATCCTAGGATTTTATATTTACTCATTCAGTTAATTGAGTGTCAAATCTGTTTGGTTTGCAAGAGGAAAGGTGATTATCTGTTTTTTTCCCTATTCAACCTACAGCAAATTCAAACTAGCATCTAGAAATCCAAGTTCAGATTTTTCCTTCACCAGCAACAAAAGATTTTTAATTAGACTATGCTTGCCAATTTTTGTTGAAGAATGACTCAGAGTAGAATCCATCACCCTATTAAGTAGGTGTGGTTTTGGCTGTAGAGGGATGACATGAGTAGAAAAGCTAGTTTTTCTTCAGGACTTCAGTCAAGAAATATGACTCAGTGCCTCCACTTGCCTTTCAATAAAAAAAGTCCAATTTCCCTCTCCCCCATGCTTTAGATATTCTGTAGTCATTTATACTTGTCCAAAGGGGATGTCAAATATTAGGCTGAAAAAACAGAACCAGCCAAGACTGAACAGTTACAAACTGCCTGCAGATAAATTTAGATAGGAAATTAGAAGATTTCCAACAAAGAGGAGTGAAGTTTTAGAATAGTTTTCCAAGCGAAGTAGTGGGGGCTAACTGCCTGTCTTTATGATTTAGTTTAAGTTTATGGAAAGGATAGCATGATGGGACAGAGAGTTCTGGCCCAGCAATCGGTGAAAGAGATGTGGAATCATGCATTTGCAATATCCATTTTGGAACGTAGAAGTAATTATCTTGTAATGTGGTAGGTGTCTGGTAATCCCATACTTCTGGGCTTTTGCTGGTTGTCAGTATGGACTAGGAAGGAATTTTGTCCTATAAATACCACTCGCTTCTTAGGGGATGCAGGGGAGCACAACTCACAGTGGGGAAAGGAGTTACCCATGGGTCCAGAAATTTGGAGTGGGGGGTGGGGTGGAGAATGGCATTGTTAACTGCCGTGCCTCCCAGAGCTGTGGCAGTTAATGCTGCCCCCCTACTCTCTCAGATTTCTGGCTCACAAGAGCCCTTTTCTTTGCATATTGTACAGTCCCCCATTTTCCCCAGATGGTTGTAGGGAAGAGGGTGTGGGTTATATGTGAGAACATATGGGATTAACCAATTACTTTGTAAATGTGATGGTAGAATATTTCCCATTACTGTTGTCTTCCCTGTTTTTACCTATGGCATGTTGTAATGTGCTACTGGCATTTGTGATATTATGTCTCATAGTTGTGCACGGGGCTTTGAAGTGACAATTTTGGGGATGCCTGGGTAAATGCCTGCCTGAAAATACAGGGACTGGATTTGATGTACAAGGAAGCCCCTTCCAGTCCTTTGTTGACACCAGTTTAAGTCATGGAAAAATTCTGATTTGGCAGCATCTTATATCCCTTTTGTAAAGAGGCAGTTAGCTGCACAGTATACAGGAGCATCAGACCCATTACTTTCTTTATGACTTGTTGTTTGAATACCATCCTTCCATAATTTTAGAGTTAAGGCAAATATTTCTGTTATTTGTCATTTCCCTCAATGTGCATTTTATTTAGGCATTCTGCATTAGCCTCTTTCATAGGGATACAAATATTTAATCACAAAATACAGAATGTTATGACCAGTTTTATCATGGCACACTTCAAAAATTATTTTTATAAAGCAAATCTCTCCAAAGTATCCACTGGCAAAAAGTGAAAGTGGTGCTTGTGTTTTTATCATGTTTTAGGTAATAATGAGTCAAAACAAAGGTATTTCATAAAAGATTTGTAGGTGGGCAAATTGGCAGCTTGAAACTAGTTAAAAAAGCAGCTAACAGGAAGCATTTATTACAACGTTAGAGATTTTAACCATATTTAATAGTATAATTTGAGCCTTGTGTTTGTTTGATTTTTTTCTCTTTTCCATGGTATCTGCAACACGAGTTTGATAACACTACTGTATTGGGCATTTGAAGAAAAATAGCTGTGCTCTTTACTGGTCTGATAAATCAGAAAACTTATTTTCCATAGTAAAAATCCTTTGTATGTAATTATGCATATAACATTCCAGGTTTAATGGAAGTATCACTTACTATATTCCTTTATAAATTTTATGTAATAAATCCTATTTATATCTTATAATATAAAGTTTATATGGATTTCCTAGACATTTTGTTTTTTTGTCAGCAGAAATGGATCCATCTGCTGCGTGGACAGAAAGCAAGAGTGGCACAAGGATGAATGCTTGTTGCTCTTCATTTTGGAATTTAAACAATCTCTCTCCCTCTGTCAGGCCCCAAGGGCATATAACCACCTAAACTAAAGCCTTCTATCTTCTCCTGTCTTGCATAGATTCCTTTTTGCATCTTCACCTGTCCTTTCCAGAACAGTTTTTATGTTATCTTCCCATCATTGCCTTGATCTACCTTGAGGTCTGGTACCCTCCAACTCAGCTTCCAAAATTTGCCTCATATGCCTTCTCTCATCAGCTCTCATATGTCTTTCCCATTTCATTCTCTATGCTCTTACCTTGCTCAGGATGTCAGGTCTTTTGTAAAGGTCTACAAGGCCTTCTCCTCCATACTCCATTGTCTTGTACTGCACCAAATAAAACAATCAGATATTTTAAATTGATCTGTTTTGGACATGCAGTGATTTCAGTGAAATACTGCACTTAACATTTTCTAACTCATATGCTGTTAATTTGAAATTACTGCATCATCTCTATCTTCTAGCATACTGATTATATATACTTTGATTTTTCGCTTGCCATACAGAGAAGAATAATTAGACCCAGAACTGTGTTTGGTTTGCTTGTATTTTTAATTCTATACACTAACTCAAGGCTATCCAATTTCTGGGCTGCTGGGGGCCTTATGGCACACAGGTTACAGACCTAGGAGCCACATGCCATGCAGGAATTTCCCCACTCCACCCGACATTCCTGTACTCCACACAGCCAGCCTCCCCTCCCCATGCCACATACGCAGCCACACACCACTCCTGGCAGCCTGGAGCCCTCTTGCTGTGCTTCCGTCACCCAGCAGGAGCTGGGCAGGAAGCAGAAACTGGAGGAGGGAGGGGGAGCTCAGAAACCCCAGCTGCTCCAGCAGCTGGAGCAATGTGGGGAGCAGTGGCTGGGCAACAGCCTGCAGGCCTAATGCCAGTTGGACAGCAATGCATTACAATTATAGAATCATAGAGCATTAGTGTTGGAAGGGACCTCAGGAGGTCATGTAGTCCAACCACTTGCTCAAAGCAGGACCATTCCCAAATAGATCATCCCAGCCAAGGCTTTGTTTAGCTGGGTCTTAAAAACCTCCAAGGAGGGAGATTCCACAAGCTCTTGGGTAGCCTGTTCCAGTACTTTACTGCCCTCCTAGTGAGGAAGTTTTTCCTAATATCTAACCTAAACTTCCCTTGCTACAACTTGAAAGCATTGCTCTTTGTTCTGTTATCTGCCACTGACAACAGTCAAGGTCCATCCTCTTTCAAACCACCCTTTGGGTATTTGAAGGCTGCTATTAAATCCTCTGTCTTCTCTTCTCCAGACTAAATAAGCCCAGTTCCCCCAGAAGTCATGTGACCTAGCCCTCTAACCATTTTTGTTGCTCTCCGTAGGATGCTTTCCAATTTGGCCCCATCCTTTCTGTAGTGGGGCTCCCAAAACTAGACACAGCACTCCAGATGTGGCCTCACCAGTACAGAGGCCAGAACAGAGGGGAATAATCACTTCCCTTGTTCTGCTGGAAACATTTATTAATTCAGCCCAGTATGCTGTTAGTTTTCCTCACAACAAATACACACTGTTGGCTCATATTCAGTTTACTGTCCACTGTAACCCCCAGGTCCTTTTCTGTAGAGCTGCTGATTAGCCAGCCAGTTCCCAGTCTGTACTGGTTCATGGCATTGTTCCATCCCAAGTACAGGACTTTGCATTTGTCCTTACTAAACCTCATGAGATTTGATCCAATCCTCCAATTTGTCTAGGTCTCTCTGAATCCTAACCCTACCCCCTGCAGGATATCTAGTACTCCCCCTGGCCTGGTGTCATCAGCAAACTTGCTGATGGTGTACTCCATCTCATCGTCCAGATTGTTGATAAAGACATTGGACAAAACCAGCTCCAGGACTGAACCCTGGGGTACTCCACTTGATACAGGCTGCCAATTAGACATCAAGCTGTTGATTACTACCCTTTGAGCCTGACCATCCAGTCTGTTTTTTTTAGCCATCTTACAGTCCATTCATCCAGCCAGCCTGTACTTCTGAGCTTGCCTGCAAGAACATAGTGGAAGACTGTATCAAAGGCTTTGCTAAAGTCAGGGTATATCACATCCACTTCTTTTCCCCCATCCACAGAGCCAGTCACCTCATCATAAAAGGCAATCAGGTTGTGAGGCATGATGTACCCTTGGCAAATCCATGCTGACTGTTCCTAATCACCTTTTCCTCCAGGTGCTTAGAAATGGATTTCTTGAGGACCTGCTCCATGATTTTTCCAGGGACTGAGGTGAGGCCGACTGGCCTGTAGTTCCTCAGATCCTCCTTCTTCCATTTCTTAAAGATGGACACTATATTTGCCCTTGTCCTTTCGTCCAGGACCTCTCCCGATCCCCATGAGTTTTCAAGGATAATAGCCAGTGGGTCAGCAATCACATCAGCCAACTCCTTCAGCACCCTCGGGTACATCGTGTCTGGCCCCATGGATTTGTACACATCCAGTTTTTCTAAATAGTCCCTAACCTGTTTTTTCACTACTGTTGGCTGCTTACCTCTTCCCCAAACTGTGCTGCCAGGTGCAGTAGTGTGGGAGCTGACCTTGCCTGTGAAGGCTGAGGTAAAAAAAGGCATCGAGCACTCGAACCTTTTCTGCATCATCTTGTCACTAGGTTGCCTCCTCATTTCTGTAAGAGACCCACTTTCCCTGATCGTTTTCTTGTTGCTGACATACTTGTAGAAACCCTTCTACCCTTCACATCCATCGCTAGCTGCAACTCTAGTTGTGCTTTGGCTTTCCTGATTTCACGCCTGCATGCCTGAGGGATAACTTTTAAACTAGCTTGCAAGAACAGTCTGACTCTCAATTATGATAACTTTTCTGGTTTTGAATTTGTGTATAGAGCAGCAGTAGAAATTGACCTGCTTTGTTCATGCAGAAATGGATTGACAATTATGGAGCTCATACACCCCACCTCCCCCAGCAGCGGGAGCAATGTGGGGAGCAGTGGCTGGGCAACAGCCTGCAGGCCTAATGCCAGTTGGACAGCAATGCATTACAATTATAGAATCATAGAGCATTAGTGTTGGAAGGGACCTCAGGAGGTCATGTAGTCCAACCACTTGCTCAAAGCAGGACCATTCCCAAATAGATCATCCCAGCCAAGGCTTTGTTTAGCTGGGTCTTAAAAACCTCCAAGGAGGGAGATTCCACAAGCTCTTGGGTAGCCTGTTCCAGTACTTTACTGCCCTCCTAGTGAGGAAGTTTTTCCTAATATCTAACCTAAACTTCCCTTGCTACAACTTGAAAGCATTGCTCTTTGTTCTGTTATCTGCCACTGACAACAGTCAAGGTCCATCCTCTTTCAAACCACCCTTTGGGTATTTGAAGGCTGCTATTAAATCCTCTGTCTTCTCTTCTCCAGACTAAATAAGCCCAGTTCCCCCAGAAGTCATGTGACCTAGCCCTCTAACCATTTTTGTTGCTCTCCGTAGGATGCTTTCCAATTTGGCCCCATCCTTTCTGTAGTGGGGCTCCCAAAACTAGACACAGCACTCCAGATGTGGCCTCACCAGTACAGAGGCCAGAACAGAGGGGAATAATCACTTCCCTTGTTCTGCTGGAAACATTTATTAATTCAGCCCAGTATGCTGTTAGTTTTCCTCACAACAAATACACACTGTTGGCTCATATTCAGTTTACTGTCCACTGTAACCCCCAGGTCCTTTTCTGTAGAGCTGCTGATTAGCCAGCCAGTTCCCAGTCTGTACTGGTTCATGGCATTGTTCCATCCCAAGTACAGGACTTTGCATTTGTCCTTACTAAACCTCATGAGATTTGATCCAATCCTCCAATTTGTCTAGGTCTCTCTGAATCCTAACCCTACCCCCTGCAGGATATCTAGTACTCCCCCTGGCCTGGTGTCATCAGCAAACTTGCTGATGGTGTACTCCATCTCATCGTCCAGATTGTTGATAAAGACATTGGACAAAACCAGCTCCAGGACTGAACCCTGGGGTACTCCACTTGATACAGGCTGCCAATTAGACATCAAGCTGTTGATTACTACCCTTTGAGCCTGACCATCCAGTCTGTTTTTTTTAGCCATCTTACAGTCCATTCATCCAGCCAGCCTGTACTTCTGAGCTTGCCTGCAAGAACATAGTGGAAGACTGTATCAAAGGCTTTGCTAAAGTCAGGGTATATCACATCCACTTCTTTTCCCCCATCCACAGAGCCAGTCACCTCATCATAAAAGGCAATCAGGTTGTGAGGCATGATGTACCCTTGGCAAATCCATGCTGACTGTTCCTAATCACCTTTTCCTCCAGGTGCTTAGAAATGGATTTCTTGAGGACCTGCTCCATGATTTTTCCAGGGACTGAGGTGAGGCCGACTGGCCTGTAGTTCCTCAGATCCTCCTTCTTCCATTTCTTAAAGATGGACACTATATTTGCCCTTGTCCTTTCGTCCAGGACCTCTCCCGATCACCATGAGTTTTCAAGGATAATAGCCAGTGGGTCAGCAATCACATCAGCCAACTCCTTCAGCACCCTCGGGTACATCGTGTCTGGCCCCATGGATTTGTACACATCCAGTTTTTCTAAATAGTCCCTAACCTGTTTTTTCACTACTGTTGGCTGCTTACCTCTTCCCCAAACTGTGCTGCCAGGTGCAGTAGTGTGGGAGCTGACCTTGCCTGTGAAGGCTGAGGTAAAAAAAGGCATCGAGCACTCGAACCTTTTCTGCATCATCTTGTCACTAGGTTGCCTCCTCATTTCTGTAAGAGACCCACTTTCCCTGATCGTTTTCTTGTTGCTGACATACTTGTAGAAACCCTTCTACCCTTCACATCCATCGCTAGCTGCAACTCTAGTTGTGCTTTGGCTTTCCTGATTTCACGCCTGCATGCCTGAGGGATAACTTTTAAACTAGCTTGCAAGAACAGTCTGACTCTCAATTATGATAACTTTTCTGGTTTTGAATTTGTGTATAGAGCAGCAGTAGAAATTGACCTGCTTTGTTCATGCAGAAATGGATTGACAATTAGAGTTCCTGAGAGAGATTTAATGAACAGAATAAATATAAAGCACATTAAAAGAAAATGAAAGTGTCATTGAGAAAAATAATCTAATTAAATTATGAGTCTCTAAAAATGCTTAACACAGCATTTGGAGATATCATTTTATACAATAATATTGTTTACTTCAATAGGGCTTTCTGTCTAAACCCTAGATACACTTGCTGATCTCAATTAATTAACTCATAATTTTTGTGCCAAATTATGCCCATTGAATTTTTCTCAAACAGGGAAGTCATCACATTTTCCATTAATAGAAATTATTTACAACACAAAAGGGCGACAAATACAGTTGAATTAAATTCCCTTTATCATTTTAGCAGCTATTCCATTTTCCAGGATTCTGTCAGCAGGTCTCTTACTTAAAATAGCTTTCCAATACTCCTTTAGAATAAATAAATGTTACAGAAAGTGAACAGAGAAGGTGAAATGGAGCGTTTTTTTTATATACACTAGTAACTGATTTTAGAATTTGGTTGGGATAAGTTAAGGATCCAGGCCAAAACCCTTTTAAGTCAAGGGAAATGGAGCCAGTTTCAGCAGAGACTGTGCCTCCATACACATTTAAATTTTGGGAATTCTCCCAGGTTTGTTCTCCTGGTAAGAAAACCTACCCAGAGACGCATGAACAGATATTTGGATGCTGAGCCTTTGAAGAGCAGAGAGCTTGCAGTGCTGATGGCTGATGCTGAACAGCCAAGGGGCCCCTGTGTAAAATTCTCAGGATACTCTGCAGGCTCCTCCAGTCTGTCCAGAAGCGCATAGGGGGTACCCCGACTGGTTGACTCAGACTGCCTGTCTCCCTGCTTTTTATTTTATTTATATAAGTTGCACAGTATAGAGGCTGTGCTATAATAAATAATTTCAGCTTTTATTAGAAAACATACAAGAAAACCAAACCAAACCATCTCAAGCTATTATTTGCTCATAGATATATAAATAAATAAAAATTTCCAGGTCAGATTAGCCAGATCAGTCCCAAATCCTTTGAATTGTTCCATATTGGCCATGTTCCTAGCAAGCGTATGTGGCCCTGCTACTGGCGAGTATTGATAAAGGGCTGCTGTCAGACCTTACTGATATATAAATATTCCATGGATTTTAGAATACCTTTTTTTTTAAATAAATGAAACAAACTGAGATCCAACATACCTATAAGTATGGCTTAAGGCTAACGGTTATTGCTTCCAATATATCCTTTATGGCACACCAAGGAAACTGGGGTCAGCAGATCTCTCCCTTCCTGGGGTGGGAGAGATGCATCTTCCAGAGAATTTGCTGTAACTATTTTCTTTTGAAATGAAGATGCTTTAATTTAAGCTAGCAGCTGCATACCTGCTAAAAATCAGCAGGGTACAACTGCACAGCAGTGTTTAGACCATGGTAATAAATTTTCACTCATGAATGGACGGATCTGTGCAACCTTCCTGCATCTCCTTGAAGCTCAAAAAGAATTCATGAAATCCCAAATTTCACCAAAGATGCCAGAAACATGATGACAGACATCTTGTTGTGGTGCACGCTTATCAAATTGTTTGTCCTATGGAAAATAACTGCGGTTTTTATATAGCACTTCACATGTTCACAGAATTGCAGAGAAATATACTAGTTACTGAATCCTAATGAAGATGCTGAATAGGTTAGTGTTTTCCTTACTTTGCTGATGGGAACTGATTTGGTCAAAATCATACCAAGTCAGTGACAAAGACAGAATGCAGGCCTGCCCAACTTCTAGCTCCTTGCACGTATTTTTCCAGACTGGTATCTTCCAGCCTTTGGGAAAGATGAGTGGGAAGACATCTTCTGAGTTCTCTCACAGTTAAGAATATGTATATTTGTATTCTATTCTGCTGCTGTTGAGAGCATGTTGAAGGAGTTTGACAGGAAGAGAAATCACCAGATGATCTCAGTGATTCATCTAAGATACATAGTCACAAGTCACTAGTTTGGGTTTTTCTTATTTTGCTGCAACAGCTTTAAATTGTTACTGGTAGATGTCTTGCATGCTAGATTGTCAACACTGTTTTGTCCAGAGTGGGAAACAGAGGAAAGGAAATTTATCTGAGAACCCCAGAGTAGAGATAAAAAATGTATGTAATATTTTTATGAGCAGCATATTTCTTTTTTCTGTCTGTAATAACCAGTAGTAATATCAGCCTGCACTGCAGTCAGCATTTTTCTTTGCAGTCTGTGAATGAGTTCATTGAACAAAGTGAGATTTAGTTTATATTTATTACTCTTTAAAAATGGTGCAGGATGATTCCATAAACCATAAGAGAAGGTCCTTCTGAGGATAAAAAAAAGCAGATGCTTGCAAGAATACCATATAAACTTAATTCCTTTGGCAATGATCTGTTTTAGCTTTGAAGGGAAAAGGTACATTGCTGGAGTCTGATTTCCAAATAGCTTGTGTCTAGGGAATATTATAAAGAGAGCTGGGGCCAAACTGGAGAGTTTTGACTATTTGTTAACCTTTGCCAAAAGCTGACGTTACTCAGATCTTAGGGTTTAAGCTGCATCCTATAAATGAAATTTATAGTTGTCCTAGAAGATAAGGGTTGGAAACTAAGCAAAGACGTTTTTTCCACCCCCAGACATGTATGTAGTAGAAATAGTTTTGAAAGTGATATCTTTACTTAAAGCTTCAGATCAAACAGATTACTATAATTTTTAGAAGCAGCAATGGTATGAAAAATATCTATTCCAATTCTGTTACAAATCCCAGAGTTAAACCATCAGTATTAATTTATTAAGAGTCAAACTTAAATTCCTGACATTTTTTTTGTTCAGATGTTTTGCTTTTCTCTGTTTCACTTTAGATCCACTGCAGACATGTTGGAAGCCCTTTGTGAATTAATTTTGGTTTTTTTCTGCTATCAAGTTGATTCAGTAGAACTTCAAAGAGAGGGACATTATATTGCTGCTGTGTATGAACATGAATCCATACTGAGTCCTAATCCAACAGCCCTCACTGATCGACAGTCTGCATTAGAACTAATGAGAAGAAATCTAGACATCTATGAAGAACAAGTAATAGCTGCAGCCAAACAAGTAAGATATGATAGGATGAGAATTTTTTTGGCCGTCTTAACTTCTGTAAAATATGTTTTTATTATTGAAGACAATCTTTTCAAACTTGGTTACCTAAAGTTTCACACCTGGGCTAAGTACAGACAGTCAAAAAGTCCAAGGCTGAATCAATTCAGTCTTTGCACGTTAGTCTATACTGCAGAGATTAAACTGAGAAACAACTGGACACATTTACTTTTGATTCAGGAAATGCAGCCAAATGCCTGTAGTGGCTCAGGCCAGAAGCAGGGAGGCGCTAGAGCATGGCTCTCTGGCACATAGCCAGCATGGGCTGTGTGTTCACTTCCTCTTCCTGTTGCTCCCAAGGTCTCTGGGATTTGCATTCCAGAATCAGAAGCAGGATTTTACAGGGTTGCGCATCTCTTCTGCTTCCAGATGCCTGTGGGATTTGTAGTCCACAGATGCAGCCAGCAGTAACTTTCAGTAAGTTTAGCAGGGCAGCTCTGTACTCAGGGGAAGGGGGGTTTAACTCCCAGCTAGGGTTTCCCTGGGGGGGAGTGAAGGGGAGGGGGGAGGAGGCAGACCAGGACTAGAAAGCATGCTGGGATGCCTGGTATTCAGAGAATCTGAACAGCCAGCAACTCCCACTCAGGTCAGCACCTCTTGAATTCAGATCAGTTAATAAGTTCCTTTATTTCAGGTACTCAGTTATGAAGAACAGGCCTATTAGTTGGTGAACAACTCTTTCAGTTTTTATCGAAAATCCAATGTAAAATACTGCAGACCTCTTCAGCTCCTCTCCTCTTTTCTGCTCTTCATTATACACTTGCCAGTAGAGCAATATCTGTCACCTTCATGTCTCTGTGAGTTGCATCCTCTACTTGCAGGGTTGGGCACATGGATTGTTTACTTACCTAAAAATCCAACAACTCTGTAAGAAAATAGGAACTGGCTTAGTGAATAGCAGCATGGGTTGCTATGGAAGGAGTTTATGCTCCTCCAGGGTAGGTGTGACCGATAGAAACAGAGTACTTGGTAGGAACAATGTGAAACTCTAAGGGTAGGTACATTGTGACCTTGCACCCATATTATATATCACTACTTAATCTTTTGCATGATCTATGAAGCAGTGTTAATATAGCATCCAGGATAGGTGTAAATGATCCTTCTTAAGGGAGAGTACAAGAAAGGAGAAAAAGCCTTGATCCTAGACTAGAAATTCCCAGCAGCTTCCTGTTAGCTGTACCAACTACGGGAGGGCGCTAACACAGACCTTAGAATGAGCTAGCACCAAAGTTGCACGGTATAGTGGCAGTGCTATAATAAAGGATTTCAGCTTTTATTAGAAAACATACAAGAAAACCAAACCAAACCAAACCAAACGATCTCTAGCTGCTGTTATTTGATTTTGCAAAGAAAATATCCAATTCCTATTTTCCTGAGCACGGAACAATCATAGTTATTTGTGAAGATTTAAAAAGTCACCCAGAACTGTATCATTGCTTATGAAAGCACATAAGAAGGGAAGAGGTGGGGGAGTCACCGTGAGTTACAGACTGACACTAGAAGTAAAAGGTATTTTCTGCCGTTTCCTTCCCAAGTCATGCAGGGTACAAACACAAAGAGCCTAGAAGAATCCAGCAGGTCATCTGAGCTGCACTGTAGAGAGGCCATCCCTCTCGCATGGTGGGATGGCCACCAGAGCCCATGAACCTATTCTGCCCTTATGAAGGAGAGGGGGAAAGTTCAAGGAGCACAGAGATCCCTCGCTGCCAGCTGTGTTTGTTTTGCTTACAGGGGGCGCAGATTATCGTCTTTCCTGAAGATGGAATCCATGGCTTCAACTTCACCAGAAAGTCAATTTTCCCTTACTTAGAATTTGTTCCACATCCCCACTCCATGACATGGAATCCATGCAGACAGCCACATCTGTTCAACGACACACAGGTATGTTTTAGAGTAATGTACTAAGAGGTGTGGTGGAAAAACAGAGGACTTATACTCCAGGTGGTAGACAGACAGCAGGAGCAAAGTTCTTAAAAAATTTAACTGTCTCAAGTTTACGTAAAGATATAAGCAATAAAAACCCCATAGTTTGTAAGGACCAGATTCCTCAGTGACTCTCAGTTTATACTGGTGTCGTTCTATAAACAGAATTACACCATTTTTGCACTTGTGTTATTGAGAACAGTAGCAGCCCTACATAAGCAGAATTGATGCCATGTAGAGAATTTCTGAAAGGAGGCAAGGTTTCGAGAAGAGCAGATTGAAGCTTTACTATCTGGTGATTTAATTAACAGTTCATTTTCATTGGTACTTTCTTTTTAAAATATTTTTGTTATGTATAAATGAAGTAACAGTCCCTCACTGGACACATAATTTATCTATGTTTACTGAAGGGTTTTAACAGAGTAATGCAGTGGTTGTACCAAATGTGTCCGTGTCATCCCGCCCCCACCTAAACTCAAGGAAATCCAGGTACTGGTAATTAACTGCTTTCACTCCCTTTCTTTTTCAGTTAGTGAATTGGCAAGCTTGATAGGAATCATTGAGATAAAACTATGAAAATAAAGATTTTTATCCTTAAATACAAACTGGTGTTTTAAGATAATGTTGAGCTCAAGTTCAGATAATTGAGAAGTTATGGAGCCATTTTGTCCTTATCATTACTACATCCCTATCTCTAGATTGTACCCCTTGAGCACTTACACTGCTGCATGAATGCTTTTATCTAACCTGAAGAGATTTGCACTCATATTTGCAATGGAGGCCATTTCTAAAGGGGGAAAAATCAAGCCCTAAAAATATAAGGGAAGGTTTTTTTTTCTTTTCAATAAATGAAAAGAATGAGACTAAAATCTAAATTAATTTTCTAAGGTGTTTTGCAGGAAATAGAAAGTCCAGGTCACAAACGTATCTTTATATAAGGAAGCACTTGTCCCAAAGATAGTTCACTACAAAAATCACTTGCTAAGTTTACGCTGAAATTGTTCATTTTTTCCAACTATGAAAACGTTAACATTTCAAGAGATAGAACCATAGCTGCTCAAGTAAGTGTCCTTTCATGTTAAAAAATGCTTACATGTTCCTAACCTGTTTCTCCAGGTTCTTCAGCAACTGAGCTGCATGGCATTGAGAAATAAAATATTCCTAGTGGCAAACATAGGAGCTAAGCAACCCTGTGAGCACAGTGATGTACGCTGCCCACCTGATGGCAGATACCAATTTAATACAGATGTTGTGTTCGATGACAGTGGTACGCTGGTAGCTAGATACCGCAAACAAAACCTGTATTTTGAGTATTCTTATGATACCCCATCAACAGTTGATTATTCGATTTTTGATACACCTTTCGCTGGCAAGTTTGGAATATTCACTTGTTTCGATATACTCTTCTATGAGCCTGCAGTGAGACTTATCAAGCAGTACAATGTGAAGCAGGTTGTGTATCCAACTGCATGGATGAACCAGCTCCCGCTCTTGTCTGCTGTGGAATTTCAGCAAGCTTTTGCAACTGCTTTCAGCATTAATATTTTGGCAGCTAATATCCACCACTCCACTTTGGGTATGACAGGCAGTGGCATATACACTCCGTCAAAGTCCTTCATTTATCATGACCTAAGAAGTCACAATGGCAAGCTCATAGTAGCAGAGATCCCTGTGATTACACCTGATCGTGAAGCCAATTGGGAGAGCAGTACAAAACATGGGGAGACCACAGATCTACCCAACAAAAATTTTGCAAGTCTCCCTCTAAATGATCAAGTTTGTCATAAAACGGATCAAGAAGCTCATTGCACGGTAGCAGGTAAAGCAAATGAAGAACTCTTGCCAGTATTTTATGCAGAGATGATGTATGATAATTTCACTTTTGTTCCTGTAAGGGGACAAGAAGGGAAGGTCCAGGTTTGTGCCAACTCCCTCTGCTGTTACTCACATTACCAGAGGCCTGTTTTATCTGATGAAGTGTATGCACTGGGAGTCTTTGATGGGCTTCACACAGTGCATGGCACATACTATGTTCAGGCCTGTGCATTAGTGAAGTGTGGTGGCCTCAGCTATAGCACCTGTGGGCAGGAGGTCACAAATGCAACTGCTCTGATACATTTCCAGCTGTGGGGAAACTTCAGTACTTCCTATATCTTTCCTCTACTGCTGACATCTGATGTTACATTGGACTTTCCTGATTACTTGGGTTGGAAAAACAACTACTATTTCATGAACAAAAATGGATTATCCTCTGGCTTAGTGACAGCTGCTCTATATGGACGATGGTATGAGAAGGACTAGCACAGATATCTGATCCAACCAGAAATCATCTAATCAGAATTTTCAGTTTTGACACCTACACTGAGTGGCCTTAATTTCAGAGATGCTATACACCTGCATCCCTCAGGACTTAATTTATTGACACTGAAGATACAATTCTATTATTAAGCATCCACATTAGAGAATATTGACTGAACTCCTTTATCTTCAGAACAGGTCATAATCCCAGGGTCACTACCTTGCTAAAATATCACCTACTAAAAACAAAACCACCTTCTCCCTCAGAACAAGAGACCATATTTAAATTTGACAAGAGATGTTTTTTATTATGAAAATGAGGCCCTTCCCATAAGGTATACTTAAGACGTGATTAACCAGTTAATCACATCTTCAGTCATAATAACCCAGCCACACACTAAAGCATTTAATGGTGGCATAAAACAAGGAATAAGTTGTAAAGTTATACCACAAAAAATGTCCAATAACTTGGTGGCTGGTTCCTGTCATGCCGTTAATTGAACGTGTGGCCAACTTGCTACTTGCCAGTGCACCGGCAATAAGGCATGATGGGGTCTGAAGCTCAATCCCACAATCATGCCTCTTGCCACGTATGTGGCATGGCAGGAAGCATCATTGTGTGGATTGCACATCAGATCCCACTATGCCTTTATGTGCACATCTAGTAATAGAGCTCATTTTGTTTTAAATTCTAGAAAAGCAATACAGTTAGGGATTTTAAGTATTTTGGAGCGCTTTCAGGGAGGATTTTAAAATCTATTATTGACAAGTTTCTAACAAGAAAGTTTATTTTTGTGATCAATACTGATTAATCTAGCTGTGAATTTTGTCAGCTGTAAGTTTTGCACAGGTTAGTACCAGGGTCAGGCTTTGATAACTATGACAAATAAAAACAACCTGTAAGCATGATGCATAAAAATAAGCCTTTTTAGCAAATACAAGTGCTTGGGGTTTCTTAACATTTTGCCGATGGTTGCCGCAGCATTTCATTTACATTTTCTAGAAAATAGGAAAATTAGTTTAAAAGTAAAAGCTGTCATGATAACTTTTAGCATAGGACAACTACATCCTGTCACTGGTTGAGATTGAAGGAATGGAGAAAAAAACAGCAACAAAGCAGCTTGAGTGGAGAAAAAACTACTACAAGAAAGAAGAATCAGTAGAAGGAAAACCAGGAAAAAGGTATGGAACCAAATGGAGGAGCAATAGGTAAAACATAAGAACAGTAAAAATGTCTGTGAGATAGGGCCTTCTACGAGTAATCTAGTTCTAAACTCACAGTTAAGCATAATAAGCACCTCCTAATTTTAGGAAATAAAAGTATAACGCTAAAGTTGGTCTCTAGTTTTGGCTGTGTGAAACAGCAGTTATAACTTATCATTACAATTTTGGTCATCTGAAACTTGCTGCAGCACTATGAACATTTATAGAAGATTTTTATTCGTCTGGGAACAAAAATGAAATCAAATTAATGTGAAAAATTCAAGCTTCAGTGTAAGACTTCATTTGCATCATAGTATGCAAGGCACTGTGCTAAAAAGGTAGTTACAGTTACGTTTTTATATTAATTACTTTATTACCCACGCTGCTCTGGTGTTTCAATCTGCTCCAATTTAAAGATGATGTTATTTTAAAATGTTATAGTTTTGAGATTTTTTACCTCATAGTTCATAAAATCATTTAATAGGACTTGCAAAAAACTCCTAATGGATTGGGGGATTAAAAGGGTTTTTATATAAAAAGATTGTATATGCTAGATGGAAGGATACTGGTGAATAGTTAAGCTGGTAAATCAGGAAAATAACATTATTGTTTCTGGAGCAATAGCTATGATTTAAGTGTTACATTACTGTACCATGCTGACAAACTATTATACTACAATGAAGTGAGAAGAGAGGATCAGAGAATTCCAAAAGATCACATTAATTCTTAGTTGAGTTTGCCCCAAAACGTATTTTTGTTCCTTAGACAGCACAGTGTTACGTTGCTTTAATGGTTCGTACACTGTTGGACGATTAACCTATAGATGTTGTCATTACATTAACAACACAGTTGCTTGCTCTCCTGTTGTTCAAGAGCTGCCTTCTGACTGGAAGGATACAAGTCTAACAAGAGACCAACACTTCTCAGAACTGGTTTAGTCATTCCAAGGAAATATTCAGAATTACATGCTTACTTAAGGAGAGTGAATTGTCTCCATGATTCTCCTTACTAGACGGGATAGTAATATACATCTGATCATCTTTGGCACTAGATAAGTGGTATCAGTGTGACAGTTAAAAGGTGTATTGTGCATACTGAAGCAAGTAAAGTCGATGATTAAGGATACTCTTCTTTGAAATATTTCATTTTAGGGTTTCAGGAAATGTGACAACCTGGAGAAAATTTTGAATGTATACTTTAGGTATGCATCTATATGGTAATTACCTTAACCTGAATCCAAGATGACTTTGAATTTAAGATGACCCCCCCAGTAATCGTATTCTAGACATGGAAAGTTTATAAATGTTTTTATAATTTTCCACATATAGAAATCTAATTTTGTAGGGTTGTCTTAAAGTCTTAAATACAGGCTTAGGTGTCAGAAGCAGCAGCCAGGAGCGGTGGACGAGTAAAGTGGCCTGAACCCTGCTCCTTGCCACTTCTCCCCCGACATTTGCCCCACACTTGCTGCCTCCCCACCTAGTGCTTGCATGCCCTGTGCTTGCCCCCACCCCCAGCAATGCCTGTATCTCCTGGCACTTGTCCCCCAGCACTACTTGCCCCCCCACCTGCTTTGCCAGGCTGCCTGTGCCCCCCCTCCACACCTTGCTCCCTGACACTTGCCTTCTCCACCGCCTGTCCCCCCCCACTTTTATCTGTTCCTCCCTGCCGTGCCTGTACTCTTTGGATCCTATCCCCCCACCACTTGCCCCCACCCAGTGCCTGTAGGTTGTTCTTCTGCTACTATTCTTTTTTAATAACGTAATTTAAATACTATTTCAGTTCCAGTGTCAAAACAGTTTCAACGAGTGGGCCTTTGATTGCATTTAAAGGATAATTATGATATTTTTCTATAGAAAAGCCTGAAAAAGTTGCCATCATAAGCTGTGCTTTGACCTAGAGAACGTAGAATCCCAACGTGTGCTTCCATCCCCAAAACTAAGATGCCTGAACAAGAGACTTAACCATTAACAGGAATGGTTTTAGTGCTGAAGCTCGTAGAAAAATAGCCAAGGAACCACACTGCTTCGTCAAGAGAAAAGAATAAAACCAGTCTTACTGCTATCAATGCAAGCACAAAGAAACTGGTATCCTGTCCAAGTTGGAGACAATATTACAAAATCTTGGTCCTCAGTCTTCTCAGCACCAAGGCAACAGATGCTGAAGCATCACATAAACTAACTTCCTGTAACAGCAAAATGTTGCTGGTAGACAACAGAATTCTGCTCCTCCTTTTTCAACTTTACTGGACATCACTTGGGAGCTGTTGGGGCCTGTAACACACATGGACATGGATCCTCCTGTCAGCCGTGCCTTTCAGACACATTTCATGGGGTGTTCTTATACCGTTAGGGATGTCCTTCAACCCCGTACACCCCTCTGCTGTCTGCTGCTTGACCACTGAGAGCAGAATGAAACATGCCAGGGGCTGGTAAACTCTCTGGCCTCAACTTCACTTGTTTCACCCAGGTCCTGCCAGCTCTTAGTGAAAGAGGTTTAAAGAAGCATAGTATATTGCCTGGCATGTGCTCAGAAATTAAAAATCCTGTCCTCTGGAGAGAGACCTGGCTGATGGACAAATGCTCTGAAATCAGAGTTACCACTGATGGTAAGAAAGGAACGAAGGAATTACCAAAAGGTTTATTATAAAAAGAAAAAGCTGTCATGAGAATCATGCTGAGATACAGACAGAGATAAGAAATAAACAGAAAACTAAGATCTATGGTTTTGTCTTATCCCTTCATCTTAGCCCTAAGAATGTAGCTTCCATTTCTAATAAAGCCTGCCAGACTGTCAGCTTGCATTACCCAGCCCTTGGCACTTGGGGATTAAAGTACCTAGCACCCGGGAATCTTGAGAAAAAACTGCTCTTATCGCAGTGCTTATCCGGTCACATCTGTAGAATTCTTGGGGAACAAATAGACACATAACTTCCTGCCCCTTCTTCCCCCAGTTATGCATCCCATTAACAAGTTAGGGGCTTTTCCTGATCCAGTTTTAAGTACGAAAATATTTATATCTGTTCATGCAATAGGCAAGGATTTCTTAGGGTTATATCTTTTATTGGACCAACTATATAGTTGGTATGGAGTTAGACAAATTTCTGTACACAAAGCATTCTTTATCAGGACAAAGATTTCAGACAAAGATCGCTAATCCTCTGTCAGAGATAATTATGGTGTCTCACTTATTTTCTCAAGCTGTAAGAACTACCATTCTTTGAATAGCCTATTTTCCAGGCACCAACCTTGCTACATAATCCTTTGGAATGTAACCCCATCATCCTCTGTTTGTGGATAGACCTGTGCTCAGTAGAAACTCTTTTGTCTGGCCACTGCACAAACCCATGTCCAATAGTAATTCTTAGTGATTACTTCTCTCAGCTATTTAGGCTTTGATCCTCTCCCAGGTGTGATCCTTACAGTTCTGAAAGGAACATCTGAACTTCATTATCATATTATGCAAAAATATAAACACACATTAATACCAAGTACCACATTCCATACAAGCATATAAATTCTAAAACTAGATACAGCAGCGTAGCCATCTTTGGCTATCCATGGAGACCATATACCATATAGCAAATGTAAACCTAGTTTATCATTAGCTATAAACAGACTACCCACTGTAGCAGCAGACCTGATTCATGAAGCCATCTATGCACAATATTCAATGAATCCACAAAATACTGTGGGTTCATGACAAAGCTGATCGGCATAGCATCTTCTCTTCTCTGTCCTCCTAGTAATAAAGTGTTGATGCTGAGAAGCTGACATGCTGAACTTTCAGTCTGCTTTCTA